AAATATAAAAAATGGCAGAAAAACTCACATGAAACACTACATTTACTCCTCACTTATCACCACAGATATGTTCCAAATACCAGGCTGTTATTTGAAAATCAGCATTATGCAAAAATGGAAGATGACCACATCTTGATTGCAAAATGGAAGATGATGACATCATTACATAACTGTCAAATTACATCATTATTTAACTGCCAAACCACTGAGAATCATGGGCCAGCCAAGTTGACCCATAACCGAACCATCACAGCTGGTGTTAATTCTTGCCTTGCATCTCAGTCTTTATTACTGGCAGACATAAGCTGTTAATGTGCAAAACAGTTGGATAATAGTTTTTTACTATTGTCATAAATGGACATGTCAGATAACAAGACAGTGGATAAGGGAGGAGTAGGTGTCCTGATTTTCTAGGTTTAACTAAAGGTGTAAATTCTATAGAGGAAAGATCTCATTTTTCCAGGGCAAAACTGAACTAGTCTGACCTCCCATCACGACAGTCATCCACCTAGTTTATGCAATCAGTTTGGGAAATTACAGATAGTTCACATCTAACCTGGAAGTTCTAAAAGGACCATACCAAAAAAAAGCAAAACAAACTCATTGCCGTCGAGTTGGTCCTGACTCATAGTGATCCCTCCTTGGGTTTCTGAGGCAGTATCTCTACAGAAGTAGATTGCCCAACCTTCCTTCTGAGGAGTGGCTGGTGGGTTTGAACCGCCAGCCTTCTGGTTAGCAGTCAAATGCCTTAGGTACTACACCACCAGAGCTTCTGGAATTATCCATCCTTAGCTGTTTCTCATGGCTGAAAATGTTTTTGGATACATGGTAACTTATTCTGTCAAGTCTTATTAGTTTAAATTATTTATCTCAGTTGTTTATATAATACTAATTTTTTTTCGAGTAAGTAATCTGTGCCCATGGTATGAAACTCAGATGTTTTAAAAGACTATATAGTGCATAATTAGAAAAGGAGGGTGAAAACGGTTGCACAACTCAAAGAAAGTGATTAACATCACTGAATTGTATGTGTAGAAACTTGAATTGGTGTGTGTTTCTGCTGTGTGTATTCTCAACAAAAATTTAAAAATTAAAAAAAGAAAATACAGTGAAAATAAAATCTCTTTCCTACCTCTGTACTCCAGGTACCCAGGGTCCTTCCCTGAAGACAAGTGCTATTTTCTTGTTAATGTGGGCTTTAATATACTCAAATTGATTAAAATAGTAACAGTGTGTCATTTCAGACTGTGCTGACTTAAGACAATTATGTTTCCTGTTATGACATACATGAACTCTTCTTTATCTTCAGCAATACCAAAAGAATCAACAAAAAACTGAAAGCCTAAGCCACAAAAAGGGAATAAGGGCTCACTTATAACAACCTAGAAAATGGTTGAACATATTAGAAAGTATTACTTAAAATTTGGAGGCTTTTTTTTTTTTTTCAATTTCCTCTTTTGAAAATAGTTTTGTTTTCTTTTTAAATAGACAATTGTTACTGTTTTTATGTGCCATCAAGTTGGACTCGACTCATAGTGACCCCTCCTTGGGTTTCCAAGGCAGTATCACTACAGAAGTAGATTGGCCAACCTTCCTTCCGAGGAGTAGCTGGTGGGTTTGAACTATCAGCCTTCTGGTTAGCAGTCAAGTGCCTTAGGCACTATGCTACCAGAGCTCCTCTGAGATATATACTGGTGAGAAAATGCTATTTATTTTTCTCAAGCAATGTTCATAATATAGGAAGTGTTATGGATTAAATTGTGTTGTCCCCCACCCCCAGCCCCCGTACCACCACCACCAAAATATGTGTTGGAGTCCTAACCCCTATACCTGTGGATGTAATCCAGTTTATTAATAGGGTTTTCTATTATGTTTATCAATTGAGCCCTGTTGACACCATGGTTAAGAGTTCAGCTGAAAACCTAATTGAAAAGGTGGTGGTTCAACCTGCTGCTTGGCAGAAGAAAGTTATGGCAGTCTACTTCTGTAAAGATTTATAGCCTTGGAAACCCTATGGGGGCAGTCTACTTGGTCCTGTAGGGTCACGATGAATTGGAATCAACTCAACAACTTTTTTTTTTTTTTTGGTTTATATGCTAATCAGGTCATACCCAAGTAGGGTATGTTCTAAATCTAATCACATCTGGGTTTTAAAAAGAGCAGATTATTCATAGAGACATGCACATATTGGGGATTCAGTTCACCAGGTGAGACTATCTACAAACAAAGGAACCAAGGAACAGCCAGAACTACTTATAAGGAAGGGACTGACATGGTCAAGACCCTGATTTGGACTTTTCACCTCTACAATTGTGAGAGAACAGAATATATTTCTTTTCTTTTAAGCCTCCCACCTGTATTTGTGTTACAGCAGACTAGATACAAAGGACAATAAAATATGGGATCATTATAATCTAAAGGGATTTCCCCTCTTTCCTTTTAAGACCATATGGACATAATATTTTCTTTCACTGAGATACCCATGAGAGTCACACTCCTAGAAAGAGTTTGCAGAATGCCTTTATTCAACTGGGACATCTATGTTTATTTAGAAGCTGATATTTCCCAGGTGTCATATTACATGACACACATTTCGTATGAATTCCACAAAGACGTCTTATTTTTAGATCCATGTGACTCTTAAAAACTGGTAAGTAAGGATGCTAAAAGTACTAAGTGAATGGGCATACGTGTGTGTGTGGAAGGAGAGTAGAACCTCTGGAAGGCATTTAAGTGGAGAAGGAAAAATCATCTAAACCAAATCCATTGCCACTGAGTCGATTCTAACTCATAGAAACCCTACAGAACATAGTAGAACTGTCCTATAGGGTTTCTAAGGCTGTAACTCTTTACAGAAGTGGCTGGCGGGAAGGAAAGACAGTGATAAAAGCAGGTACCACAGTTTATCATCTCCAATCTTTCCATTGGTTCTGGCACTCAAGGCTATTTCTCCTTTGACTCCACTGGGAGATTTTGCACCAGTTATGTAACCTCTTTTCGATGTCTCGGCCTAGAAAATGGTTATGCTATTAGCAGAGAGAGGTAACTCAGCAAAATGATTCCAAAGAATCCTGTTTTATATGCCATTTGTTAACCCTCTTGCCTTCTTGCCCACCCCCCAGAAGTGCAGAAGATATGGAGAGGAAGAGGAAGAAGGATTTTCCCATGTCCCAGAACCTTTCTGCCAATGAGTTTCTTGTAACAGACTCACTTAAGTTACCAAAGAAATTTTCCCACCCAACCTTTGGAAACTCCAAGGTAGATAAGGGCAACCAGAGGGCAAGAAATAAGATCCCCAGGAATCTTCTTAAAATTAATTTTGTTAAGGAAACAAAGCAAATTTCAGATTCCTAGGGTAAAAGCAATACTCTGAGTTTTCTGTTGACCTCAAATTATAAGTTACATATCTTAAATTACATATCTTAAGAATTGAACAGGCAGAAAGAAAAGGAAAACCTCAAGCCTACTTTCTAGTAGATTTTGTCCATGCCCCCACCACTGAGCAAAGTGTATCAACTCTCAAGCAGTCCCCTTTGCCAACTTATCTCAGACCTCATTTTCTGCTTTGCTACACTATAGCCTCAAGAGAAAACACCAGGCATATTTTCCTTTGTTGTAATCAAACTAGCAATTGTAGTTATTTATTTATGCAACTATTTGCTTAAAGTCTATCTCCCTAGATAAACTGCAAATCCCTGAGGGTGGGACCTTGTCTATCTTGTTGAATGAATTAATTGAAATAACAGAATTTTTGAATGCATGAATTAACAAATAATCTTACTTGGCCATGGATTCCAATGGAATATAAGTCCATTTGAGTTATAAACCAAGTCAAAAAAGCAAAACCGTTGCCGTGGACTTGATTCCAATGCACGGTGACCCATGTGTTACAGTGTGGTAGTGTTGTTGTTATATGCCCTCAAGTTGGACTGACTCATAGTGACCCCTCCTTGGGTTTCCGAGGTGGTATCACTATGGAAGTAGATTGCCCAGACTTCCTTCCGAGGAGTGGTTGGTAGGTTTGAACCGCCAGCCTTCTGGTCAGCAGTCAAGCGCCTTAAGCACTACTCTACCAGAGCTCCTGTGTTACAGTGTAGAACTGTTCCAGAGGGTTTTCTTGGTTGTAATCTTTATGGAAGCAGGTTTCCAGGCCATTCTTTCATGACACCACAGGGAGAGTTGGAACTGTCAATCTTTAAGGTTAGCAGCCCATCACAAACCACTTGTGCCAGCTATGGTCCCCTCCCATCCGACTTAAAAAACCAAACCCACTGCTACTGAGTCGATTCCAACTCATAGCGACCCCCTTTAGGTTTCTGAGGTGGTAAATCTTTACAAAAGTATATTGCCCAGTCTTCCTTTCGAGGAATGGCTGGTGGGTTTGAACCACCAGCCTTCTGGTTATCAGTCAAATGCCTTAGACACTACGCCACCAGAGTTAGGAAGCCTCATTTCTACACAATAAGTTGGTTTTCTCTGTTTCATTCAATATGTGGTTATTGAGCAGCCTTGGGGTACCTGGTACAATAGGAGGGTTATGGAGGGTGCCCCATAGACCAAGGCAAATAAGCTTTCTGCATCCATTAAGTTTATGTTAGAGCGTTTACTGAGCTGACCAGGCCTCAAAGAGAATCTGATAATGGAAAACAAAAGTAGAAAGCGCAGGTCTTTGATTTTCATTCTTCAGAAAGGGCACAGAGAACTAGGAGACACACCCCCTCTAGCCTGCTTTTCCTCTGGCGCCCTCTCAGTTTAAAGGTTGCCCCAGGATGGCTGGAGTTTAACCCAAAGCCTCAATGGATAACCTGAGGCAAAGTCCTACAGCTGTTTATATTCATTTTTCCAAAACTGGATGGAACACAGCCCTAATCCAAGCACTCCGAACCATCACCAGCTCGGTTATTTTCTCCTCAGTCTCTTGCATCACAGGCAGCTCCCATGGATTTGTGTAAGGGGTGGGTCTGGGAGCTGCCACCAGCTCAGGGCAGAGTTCAACCCACCTTCCAACTTGGCAAAACCGAGCACCACATCTGAGGTTCTCCCCTGCCTGTCCTTGACCTCCAGAGCTGTGATGGTGCAGCCCCAGGAGATGATGTCCACTTTCAGCAAGTCTGACTGCAGCTGGAACTTCTCCACTGTTCCTTCTCCCGACGGCAGGTCTCCGAACACGGCTCTGGTCACCGAAGTCATGGGGAAAACTCGAGCTTGCAGCTAACTACTTCCAGTTCTTCAAACTCCTGCCGTTACACTGGGAGTTACGAAAGTTAACAAGAGAGGAGAATGTGACCGGGCTCAGACTCCTCCCCTTCCTTCTCTGGATTTGGGGCGTGACCATTCCCGCAAAAAATATCCTAAGGCCTTTTCGAGTCAGTCCTTTGCAAGAATATGACCTGAAGCAAAATTTTCAGACACTCAAGCGGTTCTTTTCCATCGCTAACTCTGGCTGCATTGCATGCCGGGAATGCTAGTTTTTGGAAGGTGAAATTGCATTATGGGATCCGTAGTCTTACGAAGTTCTAAGCGCAATATTCTACCCCTTTCTCTGGCACGTGGCTCTTAAAACACACTGAGCTGTACAATAATGTTAGGGGCTATCAGACAAAGTGCTGAAAATGCGGAGAGCAGAATTAGGGACAAGTGAAACGAACCACGGGAAAAATTTTGGTTTTAATTTAACTCTTTGATCCAGAGAGGGAAGAAGTACCATTGTAGTTCAGAGAAACCAAAAAAAAAAAAGCCAAACTCACTGCCCTCAGTGGGTTCTGACTCACAGCGACCCCTCCTTGGTTTCCGAGGCAGTATCTTTATGGAAGTAGATTGACCAGTCTTCCTTCCAAGGAGTGGCTGGTGAATTTGAACCGCCAGCTTTCTGGTTAGCAGTCAAATGCCTTGTTGTTGTTGTTGTTGTTATGTGCCGTGAAGTCGGCCCCAACTCATAGCGATCCCTCCTTGGGTTTCCGAGGCAGTATCACTAGGGAAGCAGGATTGCCCAACCTTCCTTCCAAGGAGTGGCTGGTGGGTTTGAACCGCCAGCCTTCTGGTTAGTAGTCAAGTGCTTTAGCCACTATGCTACCAGAGCTCCTGTCAAATGCCTTAGGCATTGATTATTTCAGACTTTTTGTGCACGCTACTGATAATTCAGACTGTTTGTCTCACAGGTTAGAGCCCTTATGCGTAGATTAAACCAAAACAAACCCGTTGTCCTCCAATATATTGCAAATTAAGGCAACCCTGTGAGTTACAAATAGAAATGCTCCACAGAATTTTCTTGGAGGATGGTGGGGGAACAGCAACATTTGGTTCTATTATACATAAAGTCTCTATGAGCTGCAACTCTATGGCACCTCTCAAAAACAAGACTTTACAGAAGCAGATCCCCAGGTCTTTCTTCTGAGGCACTACTACATGGATTCAAACCACCAACCTTTAGATTAGTAGTTGAGCACAAATGACCTGTGCCATGAAGAGACTTGTAGATAGATTATTGTTGTTGTCATTTTCAAGTTCTGTCTGGTAGAGTCTGACCCATAGCAACTCCATGTGACAAAGTAGAACTACTTCATAGAGTTTTCTTGGCTGTAATCTTTACAGTAGCCTATTGCAATGTCTTTCTCCTGCAGAGATTCCAGGTGAGTTAGAACTACCAACCTTTCGGTTAGCAGCCAAGGGCTTAATTGTTTCACCACCAGGGCTCCTATATAGATTATGCCCTCGTTGTATGGAAGTGACCAGAGGCCAACTTTGACTTTCCTTTCTTCAGTCGACGGTGAAGCTACCTCTCCTGGTAGCTTCTTTTTAAGAAGGGATTAAGGAAACAAATATATATTGAGATCCTTGTAAATGTGGTGTAGTGTCCAAGGTATCTGACTGCTAATCGGAAGGCTTATGGTTCAAACCCACCAGACACTCCTCAGAAGGAAGACTGGGCAATCTACGAGCAATATCTCCTCGGAAACCTAAGGAGGGGTCACTATGTGTCAGAATCGACTCCACGGTAGTGAGTTTGGTTTGGTTTTTGGTACTTTTATTATTTTCTTTTCCACAATCAGAAAGGAGGATTTAAGTGTGAACTCCTGGAAGAGGAAAGACACTAAGGTCTTTAAACTGTTATCATGCTTTAGTGAGCATCAGAATTATCAGAAGGATTTTTTTTAAAAAAATTATTATTTAAATAAAGTATATTCACAGGTCCACCTGGAATTTCTGATTCTGTGACTCCAGGGTAAGACTCAGAAATCTGTATTTTTCACAGGTTCCCTAGTCAACTTAATGTGGATCATCTGGGACCAAATTTTGATTTTTCTCCAAAATAGGTTCTGATGGCAAAGGACTAAGACAAATCTACTAAGAGCTTTAATTGGATTGCCAGACAAAATGCAGGAGCTGTGTATTTCTTTATAAATCTGGTAACTCTAGGGGAGTACTGGGCCTAGAAATGATAAGGATGCTGGGAACCTGAAGACATGTTTTACTCAACTCATTTGCATAATCGGCCCATTTTTGCTTGACACTGTTTTTGGCTGGGTTCCTAGGTAGTTGGGAGGATATCCAACTAGACTTTGGTTAGTGCTGAAATGTATCTGTGGTTGGGAAATTAGGATCATGTTCCTGGAATCAGATGCTAATAGAACACAGTAATTTTTTCTCAACATTTTCTGTGTAGTTTGAAGGAATATTTAGCATTGCTGCCACAAAAGCCTCCATTCTCCATCACAAAGCGACAGGATTTCTGATAGCAAGGGAAAAAAAGAGCTTGCAATAGGCTTCAGTGAAGCGCAACATATAATAACACAAAGACCAAAACAAGTGAAATTACAGACTGCACCACTCTCACACAATAACTGATAGGCACTCTTGGTTGCTGCTTCATCAGAAATTCTCATAAATTCTGCAAATCTCATCAGCCCACTTAACATTTGTGGCTGATTCATACATAAGCCCTTTTGGCAATGCTGTGTTAGCAAAGATGTCTTAGAATCTCTTTTGTGAGCAGGAAGACTGCATTTTCTTCTCACTCACCAGTTCTCAATGTTCTGCCAAGCTCATGCTGTCACAGAGAGAAATAAATGCATTTGAAAGGCCAATGCCAAGTATTGCGAGGGGAGGTCTTGTTGGCTCAGCTTGGTAGAGAACGAAACATACCATGATGTCACTCTAAGGTGTAAGGAGCACAGTTCTTGATTTTGTTTTCCTTTCACTTTGAAGGGCTTGATCTATTGTACCAAATAGGACTACCTTGTGCTTCAATCAGCTGTCAGGTACTCACCTTGATTTTTCTTACCACAATATCTCATTTTCCTGGTCCCGCAGTGATGTTTTAAAGGAATATTTGTACACTTTGGGGAAAAAAAGAAGCAGCCTACATATAGGAGAAAGTCTCCAATCTGCAAGGTTGGATTGGGTCAAAAACAAGGTAGTAACTTGAAAATGAAGCATTGTTAAATTCTCGGAGGTCTTTATTTTTATTCTTTTGGATAGTGGATGAGGGTAACATCATGAGGTAAGGGGAGTAGGAAGAATAACATTTATATAAAAGAGGAATTACTAAAAGTGGATATATTTTTTTCCTTTCAACTTAAGGGGGACAAGTGTCAGGCCAGACAGGTAAAGAATAAGCTATGTTCCTCTTCTCAGCTGGAGGTTAGGCCCCAAAGCTGAGTGCTTGGGGAGCCAGGCCTAATCAAGTCTGAGCCCTTGGACTCTGTGCCCCACTCCCTCATTCTGCACAGAAGCTGGAGGGTGTGTTTTCCCTGGGACCTGTCAGAATCTGGGCTCATGAAGATGGCTATGAAGCCAACACTATTAATAGGCTGCTATGCAGAGGAAACTCTCTGAGATGTGATAATAAAACCAACTCATAATACCTCACAGTTTGTCTACAGAGTCTAATGTGATACCATCCTCATCTCTATCCTCCATAAAGGTGTCTTTGTTGTTGTTGTTTTAGTCCTTTGTCATCAGAACATATTTTGGAGAAAAATCAAAGTTAATCTATATTAAATTGACCTAAGTACCTGTGAAAAATGCAGATTCCTGAGCCTCACCCTGGACTCACAGGATCAGAAATTCCAGGTGGACCTGTCAATATGCTTTATTTATTTTTAAAAAATCCCCTCAGATAATTCTGAGGCACACTAAAACATGACAATGATTTAATGACCTTAGTGCCTTTCCTCTCCCAGGAGTACACACTTAAAGCTTTCTTCCCAATTGTGGAAAAGGAGATAATAAAAGTATAGGATCTGGCATTTACAAGGACCTCAATATATATCTGTTCCCTTATCATCAATCCCTTAAAATCTCCAAAATGTATTACCAGCCAGTTTGATACATTACCACCTTCCTGTTCTTTTTTTCAATTTCTGGGCTCCAATAGTGATTGTTGTCAATTCTCTTCATTTGGTACTCAGCATTGGGATCAACTTGACACTACCTAACAACAACAACAAATTGACTATCTTAGATCATTCTTTACCTTGCCATGAGTACATTTTTGTTGTCATTGTTTAGTCAACTATTGGCTCCTTGAGTGAAATTTGGGTTCTCTCTCTCTTTTCTTTTTTCTCTCCAGCCTAAATGTTGCTGTCTTACTTGGTAGTTTCAGATGAAAACTACTTGTATCTGGGAATCAGGAATGCCTGGGAGAATTCCATCAAATTCATGAGAGGTAGAATTATTCACAGTTCAATTCTGTTTAATCAGCAATTTTGGAGCAGAGGCTGGGAAAGGAATTATGGCAGCATGTGAGAGGTTCTTGAGGACAATGGGTTAAGTTTTGTTGTATGACATGCTGTTCATTCATTAAATATTCCATGAATATGTGCCAGGCACTGTGCTAAGTACTTTGATGAGTGAAACATGATCCCTGCCTTCAAGGAACTTAAAGTCTAATGTGATAGAATATTCATTTCTATCTTCCATAAAATAAAATCATCCTTAAAATCTTCAAAATGCGTTAGCAGCAAATTCTGGGTGAGACAATGTGCTGGGACTGACCTCAAAGCAGTTGTAATTATAGGATTGCCCAAAGATGACTACCAATATTGTGATTAGAATACCACCAAGGACAGTGACTGGCATATATTAGCTGTTGTTGCTGTATACAAGGAATTCTGGTGGTTCAGTGGTTAAGGCATTGGGCTGTTAACCAAAGTCTGACAGTCTGTGGGAGGAAAATGAGGCAGTCTGCTTCTATAAAGATTTATAGCCTTGGAAACCCTAGGAGGCAGGTCTACTCTATC